TTTTTTTGATTTTTTTTCCAGTACCTGGAATCGAACTCACGACCTTGCGCTTGCCAGGCAGGCACTGTGCCGCTGAGCTAAAGCCCCAGCCCCAGTATTTCAGGTATCTAAATTTTCATTCCATGTTTTTCTACTATTCCTTTTCTTCTCTAGTGAATTTCAACCCCTAAACAAGACATAAATGTGTTCATTTGCTTTGTATCAAAGGAATACATATTCAATGCATACACAAATTAATTCCTCAGATCAGATAGATGACCTACCTTCAAATAAGTCCTTAATAACAATGATAGACTAAAGGTTTGGATCCACCTCCCCAACTTACAGCTTGAGCCCCTAATCCCCAACATGATGGAATTTGGTGAGAAGGCCTTTGGGAGGACACTGGAGTAAGATGACATGACCAGGGTAAGGCCTCCATGGTGGGTCTGAGGCTCTCACAAGAGGTGAAGGACCAGGCCCCCTCTGAAACGTGAGGACACAGAAAGAAGGCAGTCATCTGTGGGACAAGAAGAGGGCTCTCACCGAGGACCTGGCCATGCTGGAGCCCTAATTAAACCCAGATTTCAAAACTGTGAGAAACAATTGTTTGCTGACAAGCCACCTATTCTGTGTTATTCTCTCACAGCAACCCAAACCGCCTAAAACAGTAACATTCATTTTGAAACAAATTGGGCTCTTCAGTGATCATTACCCAAATTTCTGAAAATGCATTTTAAATAGCATCATACTTGATGTTTACTTGGTAAGAAGTCTTATAAGTGGAGAAAAACATGGCAACTGTTATCTCTTGACCTACTTTAAAAAGTCTTTAGATCACGCTGATATATATCTCACATTGGTAGCTTTATCGTATTCCTTTATAAAATGACACTGTATCACCAGTCTGACGTCTAATTTTAGCTACTAATGGAAATAAACATACAGTAATAATTGTCTAAACAACAGCAGAAAGCATTTGGTGACAACAGATTAGTGTCTCCACCCATGAATCAGAGTTCTCGCTTCAAAGTTAACAAGAATAGCTTTTATATCTGAAAGATATTAAATTCTATACTGCCATACTGCAGATACTAGAGTACAAGAATTTCTGTTTAAATCCCAGCTTTACAACTTACTACACATACGAAGTTGTGAAAATTATCTGACTTCCCTATCGCTCTCTATTCACCTAAGGTATGAGATTGGACTGGGGACACAGTTTAGCGGAAGGGCACTTGCCAGGCACACACAGGGTCCCAGTTTCTATCCCCAGCACTAAAAAACAAACACAACAACAAAAAAGAGATTAATAATGGCTCCTACATCAGCGAGGCTTCATGAAGATTAAATGAAGTAATGTTAATTAAGCGAAGACTTAAAAATCTGATAAACAGTATACACTTAATACACGGTGACCATGTGTAATACTGTTTTTATTTATTTGTTTGATTCTGGTACATCTGTCCACCCAATTTCAGCCTCAGTATGAAGGCCCTTTCTGAAGACAATACACTTCGTTGCTGACGCTCCTATAGTTAATGATCTAGGTACACACACACTTGATACGAATCATGGATGCCACATAGATATTTTAGACAGTAAAATACCTTCAGAGCACAAAGCTAAACTGCAGTTCTATAAACTGAAATACCTCTTTGAGGCAGCAAACTACACATTCTTGAGAATGCATGTAGAAATGGAATTTGAGTTGTATGTTTTTTAAATAATCAACTTTACACTGCGATGCAAAATTGTCTTTTTCCACCCCACCCTAATAATTTATTATACATACTATTGATCCACCACTGGTTTAATCTGACTTCTTAATTTTTGCCAGTTGCATAGGTATATAGATTAAATGAAGTAATGTTAATTAAGCAAAGACTTAAAAATCTAATAAACAGTATACACTTAATACACGGTGACCATGTGTAGTAATACTGTTTTAATACGGTATCTCAGTGTGGTCTTGATATACATTTGTGCTAATGATATAAGCAATGCCTTCTGCCCTTTTTTTCTATTGTCTGTCTTTTTCTTACTGCTTTGTAATTCTTTATATATTTTGAACACTAGTGCTTTCTTGTATACATGGCAAAAATCTATTAGTTTAGTGTTGCTTTTTCATTTACCTTATGATACTGTTGATGAAGAGAAATTTTTAATTTTAATGTAATATATTTTGTTATTTTCTTATATAATTAGCACTTTGTCATGTGTGAGAAATTACTATTACAAGACCTTAAAGATAATCATGCATAAGTTGTGATTAAAAATATAGGGAATGTTTAAATTTTTAAAACTTCTTGCAGTTACAGACACATTGCCATTCCTTCTCAAAACACTCCCACTTTGAACACACTTTTCTTTTCTTTTTTTTTTTTGGTTTTTCTCCAATACCGGGAACCGAACTCACGACCTTGCACTTGCCAGGCAGGTGCTTTTGCCGCTGAGCTAAGTCTCCAGCCCCTGAACACACTTTTCTGATGTCCTTGCTGCCTTCTGACGCAATTCTCGAAGTCTTCCTTTGTGTCTTTTCAAGATATAACAAAAAAAAAACATGGTGAATGCTGCTGCTAAGTGCCACTCAACAGAAAGGCAGTGCGGTGGATTAGCTAATGGGCAACTTGTAACACCCAGCTGAAATGAATCAGCGGGGCGCTCAGTGCGGATGGCCCACCTGAGGATTGCTGCCAAGAGCATGAAAAGAGAACCAGAGGGGAAGATGGTGTGCTGTGGATCCTCCTAGAGAAGCTTGTCGTGTTGGCTTCTCTGAGACGAACTTGGCTGTTATGTTGGAGGGTCCTCACTGTCACTGAGGATGGCTGTGGTTCTCTTTGAGGGAGCTCCTGGTCCTTACTTTGAGTGTTGCTTCCTGCCTCCAGTGCAGATTCTTTATCCCGCTGAAATAGACTTTCCAGCTTCCACCACTGGTCCTTGGGCCTTCCCAGTGCAGATCCTTGATACAGACTTGCATGAGACATTGTTGTGAGCTCTAGGCCTCCAGCTGGACTCGTGGAAAGCACTACTATGGGCTCTAGGTGATCAGGTGTACTTGCACAGGACATTGCTGTGGGATCCGGGCCCTCATCTGGATTCTTTGGGTCTCTAGTATGTGGACAGATCTCCTGCACTCTTTTGCATTTGACTCTTTGGGTGACTATGATAAAATAATCTTATAAATTATGTGTCCTGTATGAAATCTTTGCCATTGTAAACCCTGGCTACAACAGGTAGGCTCATAAAAGCATCCCAGTATATCCTCATCCACCTTATTCAACACATCTGTTACTGTGTGACTTCTGGCTTTTCCTCAAAGTCAAAATGACCACGAAAGGTAAACGTTTTGAATTGATTCAGAACATCAAGGCAGCCAGAACATGCAACTGAAGACACTCAGGAAAGAGGACTTGCAGAACTGCTTCAGGAAGTGGCAAGAGAATGACGGGACTAGGAGTATTTTGAAAGAGATTAATGCTAACTTGTCTTTTACTATAATAAATTATTTTTAAACAAATAAGCACCAAATCTTTCAATTATACCTCATATAGTCTTCTAAGTTTTAAAGTTTTGCTTCTGCTATTTAAGTTCTCAGTCCATCAAATTTTTGTAAGGTATGAGAAAGAAATCTAACCCTATTTTTCCAGAGGTGTAGGTCCTTTATTTCCTCAAGTACTCTGCCATGAGAACTTTGTCATAAGGAAGAATTATACACAAATATACAATGACCTGATTTTGAGCTCTTAATTCTGATCAATTCACCGATCTTCCTATACCAGCACCTTACAAAAGTTATTACCTACAGTACTGCAAGTCCCTATTATTCTTCTGATTATTATCAATCTTAGCTATTATAATCTTTTAAGAGATATTATCAATATTTTGGTTGAATTTTTATTAAATTTGTAGATAGATTTTTATCTCTAGTGTCAGTGTATTAAATAATATATCTTTGTATTTTTTTATTTTAAAGAGTAAAAGAA